AGAGATTAACCAAAGAATTTATATACATATATGCATAACCCAAGGACACGGACAATGGTGTGGAGAGGGACTGGGAAGGGGGTAGGCGGGGGTGGAATGGGTCAATAGGGAGAAAAAGGGGCATCTGTAATATTTTGAACAAATTTTTTTTAAAAAGATAACTTTTGATATTTTCATCCATGAGTAAAGATTGAGTGCTTCCTTGTTTTGTTTTTGTTGTTAATCTTCACCTGAAGATATTTTTTCCATTGATTTTTAGAGAGAGCAAAAGGAAGGGAGAGCGGGAGGAGAGAGAAACATTGATGTGAAAGAGACACATTGATTGGTTGCCTCCTGCACTTGCCCCATCTGGGGCCAGGGATGAACCTGAAGCCCAGGTACATGCCTTTGGCTGGGAATCGAACCCTAGACCCTTCATTGTGCAGGTGATGCTCTAACCAAAGAGCTCCACTGGCCAGGGTGAGTACTTCTTTGTTTTAAATTGAATAGGTGAGGCATGGGACACTTGGGAGACAAAAGGTAGTCGCAAGTTAATTAGGAAGGAATAGCGAGCCTTCTTTACTGGAGTATTGAGAGTATAAAGGATCCTAACATCGTCAGTGATCTCAAGTGAAGAAACAGTGGTTGGATTTTTTTGGAGGTTAATAAAAATCAGTGAGGCATACATTGGAGAGACTGTTGGGGTCAGTAGGCTAACTATAATTACAGAATTTAAGTCTGAATCTGGTGTGAGAAAGGATGTAATGAACAGTATCAAATAAACTAGCAGGTCTACCTTGGTATTAAGTAGTAGAATCTGCTTTATTCTTGATGATACTGTAATTAAATGTTTCTGTCAATAAAAATTATGTATAGAACTGAAACAAATAGAGGTCACGGAAAATATAGTGAACGGAGTAGCTTTTTTGTCAGTAAAGTAAATTTATTGTGTCTGTGTCATTTATGTCTCTTGTGAAAAGAACTCAGGACATCTTGGGTATTTAGAGTTCTTTAGAATAGAGCAAATAACTGTAAATCGAGTCTGTGTTTGAAATTGCAACTTAAGTGGAAATATGACATTATAGGAAAGATTACAGGACAAGATACTGAAGTTTGTTTTTTACAGCTGTCAAAGAAAAGTTCCAAAATAATGAAATATCTCCCCTTTTTTCCATAAAATAAGTGATTCTCAGAAAATAAACAAAAAAGAAATGTATATCGTCCTGCTGCTTCGTGTTACAAAACACAGAGCTATGGTTATTATAGATATGATATGTCACAGCTGATGAACAAAATTAATGGATTGTCAAACAAGCTCAATCTCATGGCATCATATATCTTTAAGAACTTTACCAGCAAGTTCTTCTTTAAGTTCTGAAATGGAAACCAATAAGCAAACACAGCCCTATAAAACAGCACAACTCCCAATCTAAAAAAAAAAAAAAAAATAGAAGACTGGAATACACTAGAGGCCAGTCTGGCCTTTCTGGGGTAGATTAGATGTTTCTTTTGATTACTATTATTACCCATTTCTAGTCATTGAACCTGTGTGGTTAAACACCCACTGGGTAATAAATATTATTATAAAACTAACAAGAGAATCTCTTATGGGTTTAGGAGTTAAATGCCTTTCAAAGATATTGTGTTTTAAGAGAACATGAAAGTCCTGACTGAATGAGTTTTAATCAGGGGTAATAAAAAATACTATGTAGTATTTAAAATACTCATTTAATTATTTAAAATACTTATTTTCATGCACACACTAAATCTGTGACCTGCTTTTATCTTTGGCCTACTTGCTGCTACCACTGTCCCTCTTCAATTCATTTTCCATGTTGCAGCCTGGGTGGTCTTTATAAAATGAAGAACTTTTGTGTCTACTTCTCTTTCCCCAATACCCCCTTTAAGACTATGGCAACCATGCCAATGCACCTCACAGATCTAGGTTGCATAATTGATGTCGGGCCTCAGCACCTACACTCTTTTTGAAAAAAATCCATTTTAACTTTATTCTTGAATATGGTATAAGAATAGATCTGTCCAATTTTCCCAACTCTATTGAATAGACTGTCTTTATCCCATTGTATGTTCTTGCCTCCTTTGTCAAACATAAATTGAGCATATAGGAGAGGGTTTATTTCTGGGCTCTCTATTCTGTTCCATTGATCTGTACATCTGTTTTTACGCCAGTACCATACTGTTTTGATTACTATGATCTCAGGCTGCCTGACTGTGAAGATTGACCCTGGCCAGAGTGTATGAGCTGCTGTGCTGGTGCTGACCAAATAAAATGAAATTCCCCTCAGCAGGGTCTGGAACCTGTCGAGATCTCCCTTTGGATATGCCACTTGTGAAGCTAATTGGATCCTGCTCTGATGTCTGAAGCTGGCCACTGGGTGAGTTGGTTCTGGGGCCTCTTGGGAGGGACTCTTGTGCAGGTCAGTGTCAGACAGTCCCTGTGACTGGCACTGGGTAGCCTGTTTGGAGCTACAAAGCAACCCACAGTTTTTGGCTGTCTCTGCTGGGCTTAGGTTTGCATGGGAAGGACCAAATTGCTAGCCAAGGCTGGCTTCCACCAGCACTGAGCTTGGGGGCAAGTTGATAAGGCCCAAGGCACCCTGATTCTGCCTCTGCCTACCTCCAACTACCAGCTGCCTGTAGGCCCAGTCACTGAAAGAGCTCTGGTGGTACTCAAGTTGCATGAGATAGGTTCTCAGTGAGTCACCAACAGGGTGGAGCGGTGTTCACCAGATTGATACCTATTCTGTCTTGGTGCCAGTGCTGCGTCTGAGGCGACTCAGCAAATGTTCTGGGGTATCACCAGTCTAGTTCTAACTGGCTTGGTGCTCAAATATCTTTGTTGTTGGGCAGGCTCTCAGGGAGTGTCAGGCTGAAGCCATCAGAGTTTATCAGGCCCAAACAGACCATGATTTGGCCATGTGAAGAGAGGACTGTGCACTGGTTGGGTGTGGGAGGGAAAAATGTCCCCTGTTCTAGAGCCACATAACTCAGTCTCTCCTAGATTCTGCCAGGAACCTGATCTCAGCAGGATGAGGCTGCCAGGAGTCAGGAAGATGGGGCTAATGGATCTCCCATGAGGGGAAGTGGCCGGTCAGGCTTGTGGGAAGGGGTGTGTGTGTGCAGCCCCTGCTCCAGAGCCACACAACTCAGCGTCTCCCGGATTCTGCCCAGGCCTGGGCAGGTTGTAGCTGGGTAGAAAGTACAGAGATTTTCCATATACCCCATGCTCCACATATGCACAGCCTCCCCATTATAAACATCCTTCACTGGAATGCTTATATTGGTTACAATTGATGAACCTACATTGATTTATTATCACACAACATACATAGTTTATATTAACGTTCATTCTAGGTGATGTACATTCTATAGTTTCGACAAATATGTAATGACAGGTATCCACAATTATAGTATTACACAAGGTAGTTTTACAGCCCTGAAAGTCCTTTGTGTTTTGCTTACTCATTCCTCTGTCCCCTAACCCCTACCATTGTTTTATTTTTTTTAGGTCTCCTTGTGCTTGTGTTTATGCTTTCTTAAAAAAAATAAAAAATACCCTTTACAGTTTTGTTAATAGGGATTTGCAAGGGAGAAGAGATAAATGTGTGTGTTCAATCTGCCACATGATAACCAGACTAAAATATATATATATATATTTAAAACAAAGTGAGGTATATTTTATTTAGTTTCTCAAATCTTATGGTCTAAAAATAACAAATCAATATGTCATATTTAAAAGTCAGGTTTCAGGACATTTCATTTTTGCTTTGGATTATGCAGTGAAACACTTATTTTTCTTTGTCCTAAAAAGAAAGTATTAAAATTTTATGATGCCTTTCAGTAAAATCAATACAGTTTGTAGAACATTTCACCTTTACTCCTTAAAGACATATTTAAAACCTCAACACTTATAAATTTTAAAGCTTCAAAGTGATCATTTTATCCTAATATTTAACTTATAGGAAATTGAGGCCTTGGTATTAGGCGGCATCTTGACGCTGTACCTTCTGTTCCTAGAAGACATGAAACTAGAGCTTAGATATTTTGTGGGAAGAATGATGGTGATGTTAAAAAAGAGAGGGAAGTTATGGCTTAGGAAAAAAAGGAGTGAAATGCCAGCCCATGGGAAAATTGTCTCTTAACTGAAGTGTGACTGGTTTTGGTGTCATTCATGCTCTTTAAACTCCCTCTTCTTCAGGAATCTAATGCTTCTCACTTGTTCAATTTTTCTCATGAGCAGCTCTTATAAATCACACACAGACTTTAATTATATGTGTTACTTCTCCTGGGAATATTTACATTTTCAAAGAGGGTATGAGAAGAGGTAGCTTTTGGTTACTCTAATGATAAAGTTTTATATGTCTTGATTATTTTATGAACAATGATTATTTTTCAACAATAGTTATTTGCAGGTGCTCCTCAAGTAATCGTCTATTTTGACCACTTTGTCAAACCACCCTGGACACCCCTCCCCACTCCCCAAAAGGTGAGATTTCTGAAACTCTTTCTCCTAATTAAATAGTTAGCTCTAGTTTTGAAACTCATACTATCTGTTGAAACTGGCAGGTTTTTTATCAAAATCTTTTTTTTTTTTTTTGGTAGCAATATTAGGAAATCCCTTATCCAACTCATGTAATCACAAGTTTCCCCTATCAATGCAGTGGTAAAAACCACAATTAAAAAAGTGACTAAAAAATAATGCCACTGTAAATCTGGAAATGATATAACTATTATCATTTTTTACATACAAACTTCTTATGCAGTTATAAAGCCCAACGGTACAAATTAAATAATGATTATAATTCATTAACACTTAAGAAAGACTGGATATCAATAAATACATAAAGAAGATTTCTCCCTTATAACAAAAGGTGGTTATAAAAGTATATCAATAATGTGATTTTTTATAATAAAAAATAAGTAACCTTAGCAAAAAATGTGTGAGAAGCATAGAAGAAGATATATGAAGTCTCAGTTGTATTTGATTGAAATTTAATTAAATCTCTACATAAATTTGGGAAGAATTGATATCTAAAGAAAGAATGAACATTATAATGATATTAATTTTTCCTAATTTCATATATTGATTTTATACAGTTCCTTATGAGCAGGACACATTTTTTTCTGAAGTTTATATGAAAGAATAAACTGGCAAGATAAGCAAAGAAGTTTTAAAAAGAAGAATTTTGTGTAATTACCAAAATTGCCATATAATAGGATATATTATTAAATAATAGTAACTGAAAGTGTACTTCTGGTACAAAAACAGACAAAGTCAATGGGAGAGGTTATACCAGAAACAGACTCATATCCAAATTGAATAGGTGATTAAGTAGGCATCATGAATAAATATAGAATTGATAAGTTTTTAATAACTAATTAAAGAAAACTGGCTAGAAAACTTTATAAATTTGGTTTAGATTTTTATAATTTCAGAAGAAATGTAAATGTCCTGAAGAGTTAAATTAAAACTATGAAGCTATAAAAAGTTAGAAGAATACATACAGAAATAGCTGATACCTATATATATATAATACTTAGCTTAAATTGATTGAAGAAATTGCACAGAAAATTTAATGGGTTTTATCTAAAACAGAAAACCTTTCATGTAGGAAAAATTGAAACCCTAAAATAAAAAGCAAATAAAAAACTGGGTAAAACAACAGGCATATACATATATACAAGTGTATAAATGGGCAAAGGGCTCAAATAGACATTTCTTCAAAGAAGACATACAAATGGCCAATGGGCACATGAAAAGATGCTCAGCATCACTAATCATCCAGAAAATGCCATTCAAAACCACAATGAGATATCTTCTCACACTGGTTAGGATGGTTATTTTCAAAAAAGGAAAAGATAATAAATGTTGGCAAGGCTGTGAAGAAATTGAAACACTTGTGCAGTGCTAGTGGAAATGTAAATTGGTGTGGTCACTGTGGAAAACAGTGTGGAGGTTCCTCAAAAAATTAAAAAAAGAACTATCATATGATCCATCAATCTCACTTCCAGGTAAATATCCAAAAAAACTGAGATCAGTTACCTTGAAGAGATACATGCAATCCCATGTTCATAGCAGCACTATTCACAATAGCCAAGATATGGGAAAACCTTAAATGTCCCCCAGTGGATGAATGGATAAAGTGTGGTATATAAATGGAGAATTATTCAGCTTAAAAAAATAAGGAAATCTTGCCATAAGTGATAACATTGATGAACCCGGAGGACATTATCCTAAGTGAAATAAGCCAGTCACCAAAGGACAGATACTGCATGATTCCACTTATATAAAAATATCTAAAATTGTCAGACTTATAGAAGCAAAGAATAGAACTGTGATTGCCAGTGTCTGGGGGGAGGAGGAAATGGGGACTTGCTGTTCAACAGATATAAAGTTTTTGTCATGTAAGACAAGTAAGTTCCAGAGACCTATCAGTAAATTTTATGTCCAATAAAATGTTTTTTGTCGTTATTTCCCCAAATCAGTGTCATTCTTGTTAGTCATACTTTGAAGGTTGAAGAAACAAAATGAGTTTTTGAATTCTACAACTTTTTCCCTTTGTGTTTACTCTTTATAGTTTGTCTCCATAAGGAGATACCAAGACCTACATAATCTTTGGTTCAGGCAGTCAGGGATTTTGGGAAAGAAGTTTCAGGCCTATAGAGTTGAAACCTGGAGATGATTATGCTAAGGGAAATAAGCCAGTCAGAGAAAGACAAATACCACATGAACTCACTTATATGTGAAATCTAATGAACAAAATAAACTGATGAACAAAACAGAACCAGAGGCATGGATACATGCAGCAGACTGACAGCTGTCAGAGCAGAAAGGGGAGGCAGAGGCTGGATGAAAGAAGGTGGTGTGATTAGCTTATATGCGTAGATCCAGACAACAGTGTAGTGATGGCCAGACACAGCTGGGTGGAGGTGTGCAAAGGGAGGGAAATGGGGACATTGGTAATAGTGTCAACAATCAAAATAAAGCTTAAAAAAAAAAGTGGCAAAACCTACCCCGAGGCTTGGCTCAGGATGTGAATGGAGTGCAGGAGTGTGATCCTTTAGGATGGACCCTTCAAAGATACTTGATCTGCCCTGGCACACATCAGCCCAGAGGTGGAAACTAATTGTCACTGTCCCCTCTGAAGGTCCCTCAGGACTGGTCCTTGGGAGAGTGCAGGGCTAAATGTTGGTGAAATTATTATTATTTTCTCTGTTTGGATTTGTTAATTGGAGGCTGGTGAAACATTAAGACATTTTCCAGCTTGGATTTACTGGCACACAGGCTATTTTCCCTAGAGGGATATATAGGTTAGGGGGGAAAATCTGAATTAAATTTATTTTGCTCCACATCTGCCAGTTTATAGCCACTGCTGTAAGAAAAACTTTGATAGATAATGGCTAGGAAAAATTCCTGTACCTTCAGGCTTCACTTTCAGCTGGTCTCTTGAGGGAGAGCTCTTAATAAATCCTTAGATGGGGGTGGTGGGGAGAGGACACTCCCTGTCACATAAAATATTAATTTAAAAGTTGATCAAGGCAGTTCAGTAGCAAACCTTCTCGTCTCCTGAAATGTATTTTGTTGATTTTGCTTTTCCTGTCAGAGAACCACAATGGGTGCTGACAGAATTCCTTTTTGTTTATACTCAGTAGGGTTTCTGGCTTTTAAGGACCCATTCCTTCTGTCATCTATATCTTCTCATATACACATCACCATAAAATTAAATTTAAAAAAATCAAAGCGCTAAACAGAACTTGTGACCATGCAGCCTTAGTGGAGATGCGAAGGCTGCTCCGGATTGGGCTTCCAGAGCTTGCTTTATTATCGGAACACTTGCTTAGGCGACATGGGCTGGTTGTGAATTGCCTAATTTTCTTTACCAATAGCCCCAAAAGCTCCCTGATCCCACGGGAGAGATCAGCTCTGAAAGAAGGAAAATGATCTTTGGCTTTCTACCATCCATCTTCTTTCCTTTCCTTTCTTATTTCTGTTTCTTAGTCCTCTTGAGGGTCTCTCCTGTACCCCCCACATCACACATGCACACAGACACCAGCCCCGCCCCCACAAGCACCATGCACACACACACATCACACACACAGCACCATGCACACATCATACACACAGGCACCACACACACACCATGCACACGCATACCATACACACACAGACACCACACACATATGCACACAGACACCATGTGCATACACAGATACCACTCACAGCTCACACAGACACACACATATGACACCAAGTGCACACACACACACATCAAACGCATACCTCATTTACATACATGTACATGCACATGAGTAAACCTTAGATTTAGATTTTTGCTATATATTAATGTCTTTTACTGATATTTTGTACGTTGTGTCATGAATGGAGCAATACTACTTGGCAATATTTGATATCATCTGAGAGCCACTGTGGGTGTGGATAGTATTCTGTTTTCTCCAGACTTCTCCAGGTCTATATGACCTAATGCAAACTGCCACTCTGATTGGGCTGTTGTAATTAATCACGAGGCAGGACTATAAACAGACAAGCAAGTGGAAATATGGAAAGACTGAATAAGGAAGTCCTAATTATATGGAGACTATTTTGTTATGGTTAATGTCCAATAATCAGGGTTCTAGTGACTTTCCCAATTCTAGTTTAATTCAGTACAGGAAAACATATGCTGATCTTGAGTCTTCATTGCAAAGTGCAAGATATGTGGAATACAGGACCATTTGTGAAATTCAGACTGAGTGTTAACTCATTATCACAAATAACATTAATTAAAGAGGTTCATTTCATTTCAAATGTTATTATTGTTCTTGGTTAAGGAATGCTAAAAAGGAACCTGAGATTGTTAAACTGTAGGGAAAAGATATAATGTGATGTAAAATGAGATAGGTATAAATATTAACATCAGAGAAGAAAAACAATATGTGAAATTGAATTCACATATTGTTTTCCTCAGTCGTCCCTCAGTATCTGTGGGAGATTGGTTCCAGGACCCTGCCTGGATACCAAGATCCATGGATGCTCAAGTTTCTTATACAAGATGGTGTAGTATTTGCATATAACCTATGCACATCTTCCCATATACTTAAAATAATCTCTAGATTATTTATAATACCAAATATAATGTAAATATAATATAAATAGTTGTTATACTGTATTGTTTAGGGAATAATGACAAGGGAAAAAAGTCTACATATGTTTAGTACAGAAGCAACCATTTTAGGCCTAACCTATATAGTACATGTCAGCAGCACTGTAACTCCTTTTAGATAATTTTAATCCATGGTTGGTTGAATCCATGAAAGTGTAACCCTCAGATATGGAGAGACCGTTTGTATCACCTTTAGAAGAGCAAGAACTTACTTGGGATAATTGTTGATTTATATAAATAAAAGCAAACAATTTTGTAAGTCACCATTTCTTTTTAAAAAAATATTGTTTCAATTACAGTTTACATTCAATATTATTGTGTATTA